CACACGGTCGAGGCAGGAAATAACATCTGCCGAGGAGAAAGAAGAGTATTACCCAGGGCGGGCGGGCGGGTTGCTTGAACCGCGAAGATGCACGATTCAAGCTCATCACTACTGTCAGTGACTCGCTCTCATCTTTTATGCATCTGTGGAGTCCGCACACGGTCGAGGCAGGAAATAACATCTGCCGAGGAGAAAGAAGAGTATTACCCAAATCTCCCGTGCTTACCAACCGTGTGTAGACATGCCTCCAGGCCATAATCTGTACCAAAGCTTGCTCTCAATTCCTTGACTCTTCCACCTGGTGGCTTGTTGCAGCAGTTCGGCGAAGCCTGCAGCTATTGCTGCCACCTTAGATTTTTGCCCACGTGGCAGCGCAGGCAAGTACGTCGCCGAGGAGATCTCCTGGAGGTAGATCTCCATGACCTTAGCCGATGCCCATCTCCCGCGCCTCCTGACCAGCTCAGAGTCCTCGGTCTGCTGTAACAAGTAGGTGGCGCCCCCGGCCCGAAATGAACCCAGGTCGAGAGGCCTGGTCCCTTTCGGACAGGGGGCTGCGCCCGTTCGAAGCAGCAGGGTATCCAGACGCTTGCGCAGAGTCTGAGGGGAGAAGGGCCACAGCTTTTGCTCGCTCGTAAGAGAGCTAAAGGCTAAAACGACAACCTGCACTAGATCGGCGGCCTCGACTTTTGCAGACTGGTGCTTTGGCCCGCGGTTTCTGGTCTTTGGCTCCTTTATGCTGACGAGGATGAACTGCTGCGTGTGCATTACGTCCTCGGGGAGGATGAGGTTTTCCCTCCTGCTCTGGATAATCTCACCAATCCTCATAACCCCGCCGAAAGCTAAAGCGAAGCACCCAGCCTCCCGAAGCCATCCCCAGGCTAGGCAGGCGGCGAGAAGCGAAACCAAGACTATTGGAGGGACCGCAGTGTGGTGGGTGCTGGGCTCCTCAGCCAACCAAGAAAAACCAAGGTCCCATGCTGCCTGCATTTGACGGCGTAGTATGGGCTTCGCTGCGGTCAAGGCGTTGATCGTTTCGGAGTAGTGATAGTAGGGCCTTCCAGATCCGTAAAGGTCCTTACCATAGCATATAACCCAGTCAGCAACGAGCTCCGGATCCAAAGGCTTTGCAGCAAGCAGCGAGTCGAGGGTGAAGCCTCCAACTTCAAACAACCATGAAGAAAAAGCTGCGGCTAGCTCAGCCCTACTTGACCCGGTACGGGGAAGGACAACCCTCCCTCCCTGAATCCCAAGAGGGGACCTCCTAGCAGCTCGTGCGAAGTCAGCAGCGTTCCTGGGGGCAAGTCCAGCCGCGGCAGGAAGAGGGAAGGAGGCGACGAAGACAAGCAGAATCCAAGGGAGTGAAGGGCCCTCGCCAGGGAAGCCGAGGGTGGAGTCAAAGTCCAAAACGTCGTTGGCCTGTCCGGCCGCAGTCCATCGACCATTTCGGCGTGGGAGTGGAAAACCGGCTGCGGCTGCCCTGCGGCGAGACCTCGTGTCAAGTCTCTCGATGTCTCGGATGGCAAATGCAACAGCAACCTTCCTGGTCCCCTGCCAAGGGAGGGTGCAGTGGAGCCTGGAGCCATCGAGCCAGACAGGCCCCCGAGAGACCTCGAGGAGCTCCCCGTAGTGCAGAGAACCATCGATGGTAAGAGGAGTCGTGGCCGCGCCTCCCTCACACCAAATCTCACCTCCGGTAAAAGAGGAGATGGGGAACACAAGATTCGGCCAGCCGGGAAGGTTATTGACGTCCCTGTGGGGGGAGCTTTTTACCTCCTCGAGCAGGGAGACAGTGGTGAAGGCATAATTCTTCGCAACGGCAAGTACGCTCCGGCATACAAGGGAAGTTGCTGCGGGGAAGATGCTGAAGTTTCTCCGTAAGCCGCAATGGGGCCCGTGAATAAAGAGCCCGGTCGTCCATGCCTTTGAACAACCTGGGCCTGAGAAGCGGCTCCGGTCGGAGGCGGGCAGAAGGTCAAGCAGCTCTCCCAAACCGAAGGGCTCGAACTTTCCCTGGGACAAGAGCACGCTGGCGAAGGCCTCGGCGGGGTGATCAGGCCCGGCAGGTAGAGGCTGGGGAAAAAGGCCCGCAGGAGGGACAGGGGGACAAGACCTGTCCGGGAAGGCACGGAGCGCTGAGACCAGAGAGGCCCTCTCCCGGCCGGGAGAGGCGGCTAGGAAGCAAAGACGGAGCCACCTCGCCCTGAGTTTGTTTGCCCCTGAGAGCTCACATAAACCGACTATATCAGATTCCTCGAGGCCAGTGAGGACCGAGAGTGGGGCCGGCTCCCTGAGCGGGACGTCCCTGGTGGGATCGTCAGAGACGTTATGTCTTGTCGGGCCGAAAGAGAAAGCGGGAAAGATGCCGGCAGACACTGCAATAGCCGCGGAGCGTCTGAGGCTGGGGCGTAGGAGCTTCGCTGAGGACCTGCCTTTGGCGAGGGCTCCCCTAGCACAGGAAGAATCAGCAATGAAGGTAGCCCGGCAGTCCTTGCCTTCTCGCGCCAACATCCGCATGGCCGTAATCGTTGATTCAGTCTCGTAGTAGTTGATGTGCTTCTGGCGGTCCCAGCTCCAAACGGCTGCAGTTTTCCAATGGGATGTGATGAGGACATCGTTAATGGCTACACTCTCGAAGCCAGAAGGAAGGCCTGCATCCCTTGGGCCGAGCTGACAAAGGACCTCCTTGAGGCACTGAGCGGTGCCATGGCAGGCTTCACCACTAGCCCTCCTGGACACGAAGAGGAACGGAGGCAATGGGCCCTCAACATAGCAGAGGCCCGGCGACCCACTTGGATCAGCCTGATCGACGGCCGGGGGGACGAGGCGACAGCCGTGAGCCTTTAGGAGACCTTGCGCCTGAGGGCTCGCGAGGACGCCTGAACCCTTCTTAAAGAAAAGGAAACCTGGCACCTTGGCACGCACTGCAACCTTGAAAACCCCAAAGCAGCTCTTCACGAATGCAGGCAAACCTTGGGGAGGGGCAGAGCCTCGGCGGAAATCGGCAACGGCAGCTGACGGGAGCGTAATGACGAGGCTCCTGGCTCGTCCACTCCAGAGCAAGTGGAAGATCCACTCAAGAACATGGGCCCGAGTTAGGTCGAACTCAGGAGACGTGCTGAGGTCGATGATGGGGGAGACACGTAGCCCCTTGCGCTTGCAGCTCTCGGCCACGCCTCGAGAGCCAGCACAAATGCACAACACGTCAAAGTCAAAAGCGAAAGGGCGGGAGGCGGAGGATAGGCCCTCTGGGACCTCATGATCCTCGTCGAGCACAGCCGCTTGGCTCTCCGGTGCTGGGCAGGGCTCGAGCCTAGTATAGCAGCCCTTCTTGTCAGTGCTTAACCAGATGGAGGCTGCCACCTCCGGCCGCACATGGGAGACACAGACCGCTCCCTTAAACATCGAAGAGTCAGAACAGAAAATCCTGTCGCAAAACTCCGCTGCAATGTTGGAGGCAGCGAAGGGAGCAAGAGAGGCAAGGATGACGAGCTCCTGTGCCTCCTTCCTACGCAAGGGACGGAGCTTACTACCTGCTGCTGTGGTGGCCTCTGCTTTGCCAAGGGCGAAGAAAGTATCCAAGACGGAAAAGAGACACCTCCTGAACATAAGCACTGATATCCAAGACCCAGCAAGGTTGGAGGCTAGTTCCTCGGATATGGCGGGGAGCCTAGCGGCCTGAAGGCTTATGATGGCAAGCGAGAGGACCTTTGGGGTCGGGGCCGAGACGAGCACGCGCCCATCTGCGAGCGGGGTCGCGGTAGCATTGACCTGGGCCCCCGCAGCGGTGAAAAAGTCGGCACCATTGATGTCCTTGTGGGGGGAGCCAGCGACTCCCGCGGCGTCGTAGCATTCCCTGGCGCGGGAAACGAGCAGGGCCGCAGCAGACGCGGTAGGGCATGCCCCCAGAGGCTCAACAGAAAGGCTGAAAAAGTCGTCTATAATTAGCCCCTGCCACGGCCCCTCCCGACTAGGAGCATGGCGGGCTAAGAGTCGACCCGAGGGCTCTAATAAGCCATGATCAAGGAGGAGGTTGGAGTGCCCTTCCGTCGCAAACTCGACGCCAGCATGGTCACCCTGAAACAGGCTGCGGAAAGCGCCTCGGACATAGGTGGAAGGCTCGAAAAGCAGCGAAGCCGGGACCTGGCTAGAGACTAGGCGAGCCTCCTCGAGCCGAGCAGGAAGGGAGGGCCCACTGGGACCTCGAGCGACAGCTCTTGCAAGGGCTCTGGCCTTTTGGAGAGCCCCAGTACCTTCAAAATCGCGAAGGGGAAAAGGAGGCCCAACTGCGTTCCCCTCTGCTTTGGAGGCGGAGATCCTGGCCTGGTGGTAGAAGTCTGCCCTGTCAGTACTGGCACCTATAATCCTACAGCCTTGGGGCACGGTCAGCTGAGTCAGCAGATGGCCCGGCGGCGAGAACTTCGATGGCCCCAGCACCCTCCCCTCGCAGGCATTAGCACCTCGGCGGTCGCCGATCATGCGGTCGGCAGCTTCGCTTTTGAAAGCCCCGAAGACCCTTGTGAGGTCTTTTGGGCCCTTCTTCTCAAAAGAAAGGAAGAGGAGCCCCTTTCGGTCCCAAAGCTTAAGGAGCTGCAGGCTCCTCTGCGGGTCCTCTTCGTCTGCTCGAGGGTAAGGCAAGGAGTTCTCGGGAATCGACCTCAAAACCTGGGGCTCGAGAAAAGGGAGGCGAAGCTCAGGGCCTAGGTGCTCCTGGATGTTCCAGGCTCCATCTCCAGATATCTTCAGCCTGGCAGGATCGGCGTCACGGTAGGGATGGAGGCTTTCAGGGCCCTCGGGGCAATGTGCAACGAAGCCAGATAGCTTCTCACTTCTTGCGTAGGGAAAAGTAGAAAGACCTAGGGAGGCCAGGTGGGAGTTCAGCTCGCGCAGCCTGGCAATCAGGTGTGGCCCCCGTCGGCCGGCGGCGAGAGGGTGCGACCCTCTTTCACTGCACGCTTTGAGCATGGACCTGAGCCTGGAGAAAACATTCAAATGCAGCTCATTAGGTCGTCTTCGAAGACTCTCAACTGGCACGTGCCTAAAGTCCGAGTGCAGGAAGTTCAAAGCCAGCACGGACACGTAAAGCACTCGCTCAATAAGGAGATGCCGACCCCGTGGGCCTGGAGCGAGTCCGGGCGGGCCGTCCTTCGAAATGCCTCCATCGAACAACAAAAGGCTCGGAACAGGCAGAGGGAACAAAGCGGTATCGGGGGCAAGAGGGCCCCGGTCGCGGATGCAAAAACTGGTTTTGAGAAAACGAGAAAAGGAAGTCCCAGAGGACAGCACGAGCCGAGGCATTGCAGAAGCCCATGTCCAAAAGTCGAATTCGGAGCAAAAGCTAGGCGGGCCAAGGAGACCTTCACCCAACACTCGTGGTGCAACGTGGGGTACATGATTGAGGTTATCAGGCGAGGGCGGCGAACCTGAGGAAGACCCAGACAGGGAGGCATCGCTCCCTCCTATCTGGCAGGAGTCCACACCTTGACCTGTACCTGAAGACGGGAACGGAACCGGGACAGAGTTCCCACTGTGGTCAGGGACGTAGCCTTCAAAGCGCACTGACGCTCGGGAAGACCTAACCTGAGAACCTGGGACCTGACTTTGCGAAGCTGGAGTAGAAAGAATCTCCTTGTGACCAAGAGCGCAGCATGCCAAAGCCACTGATGCTCGGGAAGACCTGACCTGAGAAACTGGGACCTGACTTTGCGAAGCTGGAGTAGAAAGAACCTCCTTGTGACCAAGAGCGCAGCGGGCCA